TTTTAAAAAATAAATAAAGAAAAAATTATCAGATCTCCTTAATTGAAAAAAATTATATTTATGAAAAATAAAAAAAATATTTTAGCCTCTGCTTTAATAAATTTCTAGTTCTACCCTGGCATACACCCTACAAACATAACTACTCGAACATAAAATCGCAAGGAAAACACTTCAAATTTAATTGATAATACTATTTCATTAACTAACTGTTTTTCTTTCTTGTGGTCCATTGCCGAAGTAGTAGATCGTTAGCCATAAAGAAAGGGAGTACAGCAGAGAAAATTAAAGTAAGATATTTGGTCACCCAATACCATGGCATCCTCGTACTCAATATCACCACGACACAATTCATAAATCCGTAGACCAAAAACTCCTTCCCCAAGCCAAAGGTTTATTTTTTTCCCTTTCAATTGTCAATTGGAAAAAATTTTGCAACTGAAAACTATTTAAACTGAAATTAACATAGAATAAATTGTTAGGATTTGTGGAAGCTCGAATAGACAATCAAATAATGTAGAAAGGGGTGAATAAGCAATAATTTGATTAGGAAGCAATAATTTGATTAGTGTGCAAATGAGAGCAAAAGATAGAGAAATTTGATACAAGGATTTATAGTGGTTCGACTTATTAACCAAGTTTACTCCCACTACCTAAGCTCCTCACTTAGGATTTTCTAACAAATTCACTAATTTGTTCTTTCTTTTTAAAAGATAAAGAGATAACATTTACACTCCCTATCTTTTCACTTGGCTAAGATAGAATCAATCTCCTTTTTCAAAAGGTAAAAAGAAGTAAACAATAATACCTCTCAAAGGTAGAGTGTTTACAAATTTAGCTCACCAAAAACACAAATATTTACAAGAGAGATGAAAATAAGATTGGAAAATTCTTCTTTTGTGTTAGAATGATTGGATAGGTGTTTTAACCCTTCTTCAAGTGTCTTGAACTTGTATTTATATGTTTGAATGAAGTTGTGGACGTTTCTAGCCGTTGGAGATGATTTCTAGCCGTTTGGGGATGAAATCTCTGTAAAATAAAACTGCTCAAAACAAAGGGTATCAATATTCCTAAAGGGAGTATCGATACTATCTTTGTTTATATTTAAATCAACTAGCCGTTACTAGCCGTTGGGGCCTGATGGTATCGATATTATGCCTATGGTATTGATACTACTATGTAAAGTATTATCGGTACCCCTTTGGATAGGGGTGTGCAAATCCGGTTACCCGATTCCCGGGTACCCGGAACTTCCGGGTCGACGATTTCTCGGCCCGTGTCCCGACCCGGATGTTACGGGTACCCGGTAATCGGGTACCCGAATTTTGCGGGTACCCGGTAATCGGGTACCCGATACCCGGTTTTTATTTTTTTTTATTTTCAAATTATTAATTTAAAAAAAAATATATACACAAATCTAAATATTCGAAACTTCGAATTACATACTCTAATATCCGAACATAAAATTTAAAAGTTCAAAATACAAAATATAATAATCCATAATATAAATAATTCATTATATTTTATATAATTATATATAAAAAAATAAAAATAAAATAAAAACTAACCGGGTACTCGGGTAACCGGGTACCCGAAAAAACTAGATTTTGTGACCCGGGAAATGTCGGGCCGGGTACCCGACCTGGCCGGGTAATTTTTTTTAGAGAATTACCCGATTTTTTAGATCCGGGTCGGCGGGTCGGGTCAACCGGGTCAGGTAATTTTGCACAGCCCTACCTTTGGGCATTGATATCATTTTTGCATTCTGGAATTTGAGCAATGCTGGTAGTATCGATACTACCTAGTGAGTATCGATACTTCCCTTACCTTTGTATCGGTACCATATGAACAATATCAGTACCATATGAATAATATCGGTACTGTTCATGAGGCATCGATACTGTAAGAACAATATCGGTACTACTTGTACAAAAACGTATTTTGTGCTCAATTCCAAGTAAAATGGACTTTGAATTATTTTTGAAAACTTTGAACAAATTCAATTCAAGTCCAAAAACATTTTGCCTTAATTATTATATCAAAACATAATTCAACATAAATCAAACATAATAAATAAGATTTAATATAGTTAGATTTTATTTATTTTAACAAATGAGAAAAAATAATAATTAACTATAAAATATTACAAATATATATATAGGGGCAGGATCCAATTATATAAGGTAAAAATTTTTAGTTTTACACATTTTTAGGATCGTTGGATGAGGAAAAATCAAATAATGTATCTCATTGTTTTTTTTCTAGTGAATATCTCTACATTTCCTACTGTTAATCTCAGCCTTTGATTTTACCTCATCCAACGGTCCTAAAAAGGTATAAAACTAAAAAGTTTTACATTATGTAATTGGATCCTGATCAAAGACTGAGATTAACAGTATGAAATGTGAAGATATTCACTAAAAGAATAAGGAGTTAATTTCAACCTTTTATTTTTCCTCATCCAACGATCCTAAAAATGGGTAAAACTAAAAGTTTTACACTAGGTATAAGTGGATCCTAACCCATATATATATATATAACTTTACGAGTTTAAGTGGTTCGTCCGTTAAAAAATTTCATTAAGTGACACATATCGTATTTAGAAATTTAAAAAAATTAATTTTTAAGATAAAAACTTAAAGCCCCAATTTTTTTTAAAAAAAATCTTTAAAAAATTCAAAACTTTTAATACCTTAATTTCAATTCCTATACCCACACCCACCACTGTTGTTTGCCATTGTTGCCGCTAAACCTCCACCTGATGGCAAGAGAACCCGACAAATCCTCCCAAAACTTTGAAAAAAACATTTAAAAATCCAACGAATCCACATGATCCTACGAAACCGATAACAAGGCTGATGAAGGTTGACAATGGAGATGGTAAGAGCGATGACGGTGGATGTGGTCGACAAGAAAGATGGTAAGGTTAGAGTTAGAGATTTTATGCTTGATTTTAGAGATTTTTAGGGATTTGAGTTTATATATATATATAGAGAGAGAGAGAGAGAGAAATTAGGGTTTTGAAAATATAATAATATTTTAAAGTTTTTTAAAAAAATGAAAATTTTAAAATTACATGAATGCAACACATGTCACTTAATGGACTTTTTAAACGTCCATTATGGTGGAGACACTTAAAATAATAATATTTATAACGTTAAATACCTAGATTAATCAAAAAAATATTTAGGCACCTAAATAAAAAAAATATAATTTATACCTTTTTTATATTAAACCTCAATAATATATGGATCAGTGAAAAACAAATAATTGAGCTTAAATTCCACTTTCTTCTCCAAATAATAATACATATTTTTGGTAATAACAACAAAAAATTGGTCTTCAAACTTTTGAATGTTTCAATTTTATCTAAAATTCATGCAAATATATAATTGACTTCAACCATAACTTAACATAAGATTTTGGTTTTTTTTTCAAACATATAATAATACAATTTGGCCTAACGATTTTATTAACAATGGATGTAATTAGTATATACAAATAGTTTAGGATGAAATTGCATGTTCAAAATGTTTGGGGACTAATTTAGAATAAATGTCAAAATTTGGGGATGAAATTAAAATATTCAAAAATTTGAAGACTAATTTAGAATGATAATTATAATTTAGGGATGAAATTAAAATATTTAAAAATTTACGGATTAATTTAAAATAAACGTCATACTTTTTTTAGGATATCATATGAGTCTAAATTTGGATTGTATATTTTTCTAAAACGTGAATATGTTGGTGGAGGACCTGCTGGTTCCTGGTGGATGTTCTACAAAATTGCTTTCGATAGGGGGATTTCAAGCACGACCATTTTAGTGGATCAAATAGGGATAAATCGAGTGGTGTTGGAGTATGATCACATCTATTAATGTTTTTTTGTGTGTGATTAATTTGGATAAATAAAAGGTAATATTTATTCAAAAATAATTTTAAATTATTTGATATTGAATGCTTACACTCTTAATATTTATGATGCTCGAATCTAAGATTTTAAAAAACAAAAATAATTATTTTACCATAAAAAATTACTTGATAAATACGGGGCAAACACGTGTGAAAACCCATCAATAGTTGACTAGTTCTCATTCATTTTCAATCAGCTAAGTCGGCCTGCAACAATGTCAAAGAGGACCTAACATTATACAATATGAACATCATGCTCGAATAAAAATACTGCTCAAAATCTAAAATCCTATATGTCAAATACAAATTTGTACTGCGTTCCACACTTCCAAGCACTCTTCATGTTTATTTTCTTCTTATAGATGACTTGTAGGGGGGAAACACACACAAACACACACACACACACCCATTTTTCTGACACTTGTTTCTGCACTGCTATCATTACTTCATTAGAGTTCAAAGCCTTAGAAATTCCATTGCAAGTGGCTTCCAGTCACCATCACAATTTCATGGCCACTACCGTTGTTTTCAAATTGGTCAATCAACGTATTCTTCACAATACATGGTGGAATATATTCTTTGCTTAAAAAGTGTTTCTTCTCAATACATTTTACTTTGTAATGGTATTAGTTTATTGTTTGTGTCTTCTTTATAGAATTTTGGACATACCATTCATAAAGCATACAAAGAAATGGTTTAATTATAATCTAGTCTCTTTATTACTAATTTTCTTGCTAATATTTTACAGATAATTTATTTCTACCTTCCATTGTCCCATCCATTAACTATTATATTAGTGAAAGCTAGAAGATTGCAATCCGAAATTCTATTGGTACCCTCTTATGGGAACCAGCATAAAAACCAAATTATTCTTTTTTTTTTTGGAAGGTTCAAAGGTAAAAAAGTATGTGTTCATATAAAATGATAGTACTAGAATAGTGAGAGAGAAAAGTCGGTTATTTTTAAGTTTTTTTTTTCTTTTACTTTAGGGACAATCAAAATTCTTTGTCCCATTTGCTGCTCAACTTACAATTTCCAGTGGCATGCCTTAAGGGGCACTTACCTATCCTTTTTGGAAGATTGGTAGTCTATTTTCAGCCACTTCTCCTGAATTCGACCTCCATGCTTTTGCTTTGAGCTTGTGGTGAGTACTAGTTCCCTCGTGAGGATCCATAAACCACATGAAACTCTTACTTTCTCTGACTTTGCTTCCTATTTTTTGCTTTATTCATTTTGCTGTCTACAAAGTACACAATTTCGTGCTTTCTCAGCTGAGCTTGTTGCTTTTCGTATGTTGTTTTTCTTCTTTAGTCCTCCATGCCTGGGGTTTCTTTTGAGACTTTCTTTCATAAACAAAAATCTTTCAATTGTTTCCTAGGTTCTTTTCCCTTTGTGTGCTTGTGTTTTATTGCTTTATCCATTTTGCTGTCGAAAAAGTACAAAATTTCGTGCTTTCTCAATTGAGGTTGTTGCTTTTTGTGTGTTATTTTTGGTATTTAGTCTTCCATGCCTGTACTGGAACTGGGTTTTCTTTTGTGAATTTCTTTCATAAACTAAATTTTTTTAATTGCTTTCTGGTTTCCTTTCCCTTTGTGTTTTTGTTTTAATTTTTCATGTTGTTACTTGCCTTGTAATTGAATCATTCTCTTCACTCCCTGTGGATGATATGGTTTTTCTGGTTAGCACTGTTAGGCTGTTAATCTGATTCTGATATTGCTTGAGTTTGATTGTTGGTTATAGAGTAATCTGAGTATTCCATTAATTTATTTCCTATTTGGTGCTTGAAGATGTATGGTGAATGGTGAGATATGTCATTCATTGCCACCATGAACCTGGTTTTGCTGCTCCCAACTTTCAGTATCTTTATTGGAGTGTTCTCAGAAGAGGTTTCACAGCCTGGTACTGTGAATGTTGGAGCTATATTCTCATTCAACACTATTAATGGGAAAGTCGCAAGGGCCGCAATGAAGGCCGCCGAGGATGATATTAACTCCGATCCAAGTGTTCTTGGTGGAAGGAAATTGTCTATAACACTGCATGATTCTAACTTCAGCTCATTTCTTGGCATTATTGGAGGTATACCAATTGTTAGTGTCTTTTAGTCCCCTCTTATCTTTTAATTCTATATATTTTCGTTTAATTTCATTCGTGTTCCATTAGTAGAACTCTATGTTTACAAAGGGATAATGGAAGTACTTATGATGAATCATTACGAATATTTCACCTCGTCGTCCGGGAGTATATTCATGGGGAAATAACAATTCTCATGATTTGAGTTTCTTTGCTATTCACAGCATTGCAGTTCATGGAGACTGATACCGTAGCAATAATTGGTCCACAAAGTGCTGTGATGGCTCATGTTCTATCGAACCTTGCAAATGAACTCCAGGTTCCTCTATTGTCGTTCACGGCTCTAGATCCCAGCCTGACACCTCTACAGTATCCTTTCTTTGTTCAAACAGCACCTAATGATGAATTCCAGATGGCAGCCATTTCTGAGATGGTTAGCTATTTCAGTTGGAGTGAAGTGATTGCTGTTTTCAGTGATGATGATCAAGGAAGAAACGGTGTAATCACATTAGGTGATAAACTTGCAGATAGGCGTTGCAGAATTGCCTATAAAGCTGCACTGCCACCGGACTCGATGGCCAAAAGACACGATGTTTCCAGGGAACTAGAAAAGATTCAAATGATGGAGTCTCGAATTATAGTTCTTCACACTGACTCAAAGACAGGTCTCTTGGTCTTTGAAGTGGCCAAGAGCCTTGGAATGATGCGGAAAGGATATGTTTGGATAGCTTCTTCTTGGTTGTCCACTGTTCTAGATTCCATTTCCCCGCTTAAACCTGAGATAGCAAACTCAATCCAAGGAGCACTTACACTTCGCCCTCATACACCTGATTCCAAAAGGAAAAGAGACTTTTTGTCACGTTGGAACCGGCTGAGTAACGGTACTATTGGGTTTAACTCTTACGGTCTATATGCCTATGACACTGTTTGGATCATAGCTCATGCAGTTAGGTTGCTACTCGATCAGGGGGGCAAAATTTCATTTTCAAATGATACAAGATTAAATGGTTATACTGGGAGCGGTCTAAATCTTTCTGCATTGAATATATTTGATGGAGGGAAGCAGTTGCTTAAGAACATATTGGAGACAAATATGACTGGTCTGACAGGGCATGTCCAGTTTAATCAAGAAAGATCCCTGATAAATCCTTCATATAACATTATTAATGCGGTTGAAACTGAGCATCGACTGGTTGGATACTGGTCTAACTACACTGGTTTGTCCATTGTGCCACCAGAGACACTTTATTCGAAAAAGCCTAACCGTTCGAGTTCAAACCAACATCTAGACAGTGTGGTATGGCCTGGGGGAGAAACGGCAAGGCCTCGTGGCTGGGTTTTTCCTAATAATGGAAGAGAATTAAGAATTGGAATTCCAAGGCGAGTTAGTTACCGAGACTTTGTCTTGTTAGTCAATGGTACCAATAAAGTGCAAGGATATTGCATAGACGTGTTCCTTGCTGCAATCAAATTGCTTCCGTATGCTCTTCCCTATAGGTTTATTCCATTTGGAGATGGCCATAAGAACCCGAGCTATTATGAGCTTGTCAGTAAAATCAAGTCCGGTGTGAGTAGACTATTAAAGAAAAATGCAACTTTTTTCTTAAATGATAAACCGATATATATTACTTTTTCTGTCAATTCTGATTGTGTTTCTGTAGGTATTTGATGGCGTGGTGGGTGATGTTGCCATTGTGACAAACCGAACAAGAATAGTCGATTTCACTCTGCCGTATATAGAATCAGGGCTGGTTGTCGTAGCTCCAGTTAAAAAGATAAGCTCGAGTGCTTGGTCCTTCGCACGACCATTTACTCCATTGATGTGGGCTGTCACAGCCGCATTTTTCCTCATTGTGGGATCAGTTGTGTGGATCCTTGAGCATAGAAGAAACGATGAATTCCGGGGACCTCCTAACCAGCAACTTGTCACAATTTTGTGGTGAGTACATAAACATACAACATTCATCTTTGTATGGGTATATTAGCATACGCCATTAAATTCTTATGAATCATTATATTATCATCATTGTCATCTCTAAAAGTTGCATACCATTGTGACCATCTCTGCCCCCCATATGATTTAGACCACCAGTACCCCTTTATGTGCATGTTTATCCTCTCTGTCGCCGAAGCTCTCCAAGGAGGGATTTCCTTTTTTTTTTAGTGTTTTTTTACTTGAAGTGACTAAAAAATGTAATTGCCATGAAATTACCAGAGAAAATGTCCGACTCCCTTTCTCTCGTAGTCTCATGCCTTTACCCTCCTAGCCTGTTAAATGTTTTATATTTGTTGTCGATGTTTCAATCGTCTGTATCATGGATGTTCGTTTTACTACACTGAACATGCAGCACATGATTCATACATCTATGCATTCATGCCGATTGTGCGAAATAGTATGTTCGAATTCAAAAGATAGACGGTTAAAAGACGATTTCTGTCTCTTTCCATTTGATCAATAACATATTCATCGTCTTTCTGACCACTTACCTGCACTGCTTCGTTTTTCCCATTGCAGGTTCAGCTTCTCTACAATGTTTTTTGCTCATAGTAAGTTCTTTCATTTCTATCAATGTCACTTGTTTTAAATGAAGACTTTAGAACTTGGAATCATCTATTATACCAACTCTGGAGCTTTCGAAAATTTTCAGGAGAAAATGTAGTGAGCACGCTTGGTCGCCTTGTATTGATCATATGGCTTTTCGTCGTTCTGATAATCAACTCGAGCTATACCGCAAGCTTGACATCATTCCTCACGGTGCAACAGTTATCATCACCCATTAAAGGAATTGAAACCTTAATAAGTAGCAATGAACGAATAGGCTTCCAAGTCGGATCTTTTGCTGAAGGATATCTAAGAGAGGAACTGAATATTCCAAAATCGAGACTCGTTCCACTTGGCTCACCGGAAGAGTATGCCCTTGCCCTTGAGAAGAGAAGAGTAGCCGCACTAATCGATGAGCGACCATATGTGGACCTCTTCCTGTCGAATCACTGTAAATTCTCGGTTAGAGGCCAGGAGTTCACGAAAGGCGGATGGGGATTTGTGAGTTCTCTCATGTCTATTTTCTTAAACATAGTGTTAAAAGCAGAGACAAATCCAGGGGTTGCAGGAGCCATGGCCACCTAAATTGGTAACATTGTTTAGAGGGATACCTAAATTGATAAAATTGTTGAGAGATCCCTCTAAATATTATTAATTTATAAGTTAGTACATGGCATAATTGCATGTTGGCCCTCCAAAATGATGAAATAGTTATTTAATCCTTCTAAATATTGTAAAGTTCGGTTTAGAGTTTAGAGTTTAGAGCCAAGTCGTGCATTGCATGATATTCAACTAGAGTTCTACTTGAGCTATAAAAAAGCGCAATCCAACTAATTATGGTGCTGTGATCTTTAACACCCCATTTTGATCATGTTACATGCAGAAAATGATCGCCTATGGTTTTTCTTTTTTCTATTTGTTTCAGGCTTTTCCTAGAGACTCTCCATTAGCCATTGACATGTCAACTGCCATTCTTGCTCTATCTGAGAATGGTGAACTTCAGAGGATTCGTGACAGATGGCTGTCGAAACGTGCTTGTAGTTCCGACAATACTGAGGATGATATCGAACAGCTCGACTTAAAAAGCTTCTGGGGGCTATTCCTTATATGTGGTATTGCATGTATGCTTGCTCTCCTTGTCTACTTTTGGTTGATGTTTCGCCAGTTCAGCCGGCAGCGTTCCGAGGAACTTGATACCACCAGCCCTGCTAGCTCCCGTTCCGCTCGTCTTCATACATTTCTGTCATTCGTCGATGAGAAGGTAGAGAGATCCAAAAGCAGCTCGAAAAGAAAACGCGAGAGTATGTCTCGAAATGGATATCATATAGATGATGAATCGACACGGAGATCAGTGAGGATGGAGAGGAGCATTTCCCATGAAAGGCAGAATGGTGAGACTTGAGTTACTAAAGATGTATTCAGTTCCAGCTGTGCAGTACTCTCACATTCGTCTCCATCCTTGGGTCGGAAATGAATCGGCTTTTTCCGGTTTCGGTCAAAAATTTTCCTCCTTTTCTCTGGTCTATCAGTTCTCCTGTGGTTTATGCTGAATTCAATCAGGTATACAAAGGCATTAACTTACAAATGTAGCATATTGATCAATAATTCTTAAGAAACAGTGCAAAGTTTATGGTTTTCAGCTCCGTTTAAACATTTCAGACTTCAGAGTGTATAAAATTAATTACTGCAGTTATTTCTTCAGGTGGTGTTTGGTTCAAGGATTATGGGATTCCCATGGGATGGGAATCCCACATTCCCATGTTTGGTTGGCCGGGAATCTCATTCTCGGTAATGTTTTATTACCAATAGTAGATTTTTTGGGGTATATTACCTGGAATGTCATTACATCCATTTCCTTAGGTATTGTAACATTATCGGCGTTTTGGACTAAAATGCCCTTAAATTTTTATTTTTTTTTCAAAAATATCCTTATTCTGTCATTGAATAATAAAAATTCTACGAAGGTTAAATTATAAATTTATCTTTAAATTATTTTAGATTTATAAAAAAAATCTATAATTAAAATTTTATATGAAGTTTAGGGGTTAAAAAAAATTTACCCTTTCATTAAACCTTTTTTATATTTTTAATTTTGTAAAAAAAAATTATATAAATATTATGAATTTAATTTTTTAAAGAAAATATATAAATATTTTACAATTTATAATATTATACAAATATATAATAAGGACAATTTGGTCAAATATACATTTCAATAATCTTTTATTCCTTTAACCAAACACGATAATCTTATATTCCTGTTAAACCAACAAAACACAAAATACAACATTCACAGTAATCCTATTCCCTGGTAATCTTTTATTCCCACTGGTAATCTTACATTCTGTGAATCAAACGTACCCTTAGAGTTTTATCGAATGAGGTTGGCCATCCCTATTTTTTCACGAACGTGGGCTTCTCTCTACCGAGCTCGGTGTTTCTTCTTGGAGTATGTCTCAAGTTGTGTCCGAACATATAATTTCATTATTTTAATAAATATAAATATTTTTAAAATAAATTTAAAATAAAAATGTTGTTTTTATTGTTGAAACAATAACCGAAGATGAATCAATTCAAAATAAATAAATAAACTATTGCTTAGATTATCAGATGATTGAGTCTATCTAAGTAAAAGTTTATGGGTTAAGAATTTTTTATAATCAAATTTAGTTTCTCTCCTTAATTTTTAGAATTATAAAAGTTAATTATTTTAAAAATGTATAATTTATTTTGTGATCTCTGTAACTATTAGAGTCTATGTTGCAGTTATGAGTTTTATAGAGATATTGAGATATTTTTTTGAAACGTATAATATAAGTTGTGTTACGATGCATTTTTAATTGTAGAAATTCTCAATAAATCCAAAGGTACTTCAGTGAATGTTATTTAAGAATTAGAATTGTTAAATACATATAGGCGTTTCTCTAATAGATATTTGATTTATATAAGAATTGTGGTATTGAAGATTTGAAGCCTAATGCCTCATGGAAATTTGTCTAAAGGGAAAATTTGTTATATATCGACTAAAATTCTATTTGATAATTAAATTAGATTTTATTACAATTATGTATGAATTTGTTACAATTTACTGACTAAAATTCTATTTGATAATTAAACTAGATTTTGTTACAATTGTGTATGAATTTGTTACGATTACAAATATTATAACAATAAACAAACTCGTACAATAAAAAAAAATGGAACACATAACGTGGCCGAATTGATTGGCCCAATAAGGCATTCAAACTTTTAATTTGAGATATACGACAATTGTAATAGTGCCCATGGAACTTGTAACGTCGGCGTGACGAGTTTCATGGGATATAATTTTTTAATAGGCCGTGTCAGGCGGGCCCCTCATTCAGAATAATTTTAATATATATTGAGGGACTCGTCACCCCAGCGTGACGAGTCTCAATAAATAAATATTTTTTGAATTTTTTAAAAGAAAAGTAAAAAAATAATATTTTTAAGCTCATGGAACTCGTCACGCCGGTGTGACGAGTTCCAACGGGTATAAATTTGACTTTTTTACCGTTGTTAAACGGTCAATTTTTTTAAAAAAATTCAATAGAACTCGTCATGTCGGTGTGACGAGTTCCAAAGGAAAAAATACGTCTTCCCTTTAAGTTGTGCGCATCATCTTCAATCTCTTACATAACACACTCATTTCATCTTCAATATCTTACACAACAAACTCATTTCATCTAACCAAAAGCATTTCAATCAATGAGCAACAAATTCTTCAAAGTTGTCCATTATAATGGCGAAATGCTACAAACTGATGTTGGTGTTGTGTTTAAGTCACACATGCCCATCAATATGAGGTTCCATATAGATGTATCTCATCGCCTAATGAAGCAAAAAATTGAGAGAAAACTTGGAGCTTATGTTTCATGTTTAAGTTATCGGAACCTGATCTCCTCAAATCCAATGACATATGGAAAAGTTCAGCTTGATGATGATGACGATGTTGGTGTTATGGTTGGACTTCATCAATCATCAAATAATAATATGGTGGAGATGTACGTCAAAACCTCGAATACAACTGATATTTCGATGTCATCATTATTAGCTCGAAGAACAGAATAAGCAGGACCCTCTGAACTACATGCAAGTTATGGTGATGATAACCTTGTTGGACGGTTCGGTGAAAGCCTTGCTGAATTTAGCGAGGATGATGAAGATATTATTCCGTTGGTAGACGATGACGACACACCATTAGTCGATGAGTCTGATTTTTTTTAGGCTGCTTCAGAGGGACAAGGTTTAGATGTTGAGGCTGATGTATTGGAGGCAGTTGTTTCACGATGTCAAGGATTATAGAATCCTCTAAATGTTTGGGTAAGGACAGACCCTCAACCTGAAATATCTCATCATGATTTGCCTCGGTATCATCATGCAGTTGCAATGCACGACATTAACTACGATGCTATATGAAATCCTGAAATATTTGATATGCCAGAGTTATGTGCTAGCCACTGGGTTCTTCTGACGAGCAATCATCTGAGTTGGCTATTGGGTCTCAGTTTGAAACAAAAAAGAGGCACAACTAGCAATCAAGGAGTACTGCATCAAAGCTCATCTTTAATTCTATGTCACGGAGTCGGATCAAAAGACTTATTTCGTAATGTGTATACACCATGATGTTGGCTGTAAATGGAGGATACGAGTATCATACCTACAACGGAAGATGTTGTGGGAAGTCACAAGGTTCAATGCAGAGCACGCATGTACAATGACCTCATTGACACAATACCACAAACATTTAGATTTGTATATGCTCTTATGTGAAGATGTTGGTAGAAAAAAATCCAAGAGTGCCTGTTTCTGTGTTAGTGGCATCCATTCGGAATACATTTGGTTATATTCCGACTTATTACAAGGCATGGATGGCTAAACGGAAAGCAGTGACCTTATTGTATGGTGATTGGGATTAGTCATATAATGAGCTACCACGTCTGCTGTAAGCAATGAAATTTTTCATCCCTGGAGCCATTGTTAGGTATTATACTCATCTTGCAGTCACGCATGAGGGAGACTTTATCCCCGGGAAGAGAATTTTTAGTGGTTTGTTCTGGGCGTTTAAGCCAGCTATCGAAGGGTTTAGATTTTGCAAACAAATGATTCAAGTCATGACACTTTTTTGTATGGGCTCTACAGACACGTCTTGATGATTGCCATTGCACAAGATGGAGACATAAATATTTTCCCCACTGCCTTCGCCATTGTTAAAAATGAATCAGAGGAAACTTGGAATTTCTTTCTCTCCAACTTATGTTCCCATGTTGTCACTCAATAAGGGGTTTGCATGATCTCAGATCGGTCGCCTGGGTTGTTAAGCACAATTGGTAGACCCAAAAATAGATGGACGCCACCGCACGCATATCATGCATATTGTATACGTCATATCGCATCGAATGCAATGAAGAGGTTTAAGCATAAAAAGATCAAAAAAGAAGATTATCAACATGGGTAAGTACCTTAGCATTTGTCATTAATTATTTATGCTTCATTATTATTTTTTTTCAATAACATTTAATTTATTTCTTTTTAGGGTATACTTTACTTCAACCAAACTTCCGTGCACGACTTGAAAATTTGAGAAGATACGGAGATGATGTGTATAAGTTCAGAGCTGAAATACCTAGGGAGAGATGGTCACAAACATATGATGTTGAGGGTCGACATTACGTCCATATGACTACCAACCTTGTTGAATGTATCAACTCAGTGTTGAAAGTGACTCGACATCTCCCGATAGAAAGTATTGTTATGGAGACTTACTTTAGGTTGGGTAAAGTATGGGCAGACAAAAGTGCACAAATTGATGACATGATCAACGATGGGAGAAATTGAGCTCCAGATTTGGAGAAGACAATGCAAAAGAATCAAACACATGCAACATCAATGTTTGTCCACAATTTTGCCAGACTTGATTCTGATTTCGTTGTTCAAGCACTAGTTCGACCACATGAGGGAGCCAATTCTACAACATACACTGGTTAATTCTACAACATACACTGGTAATCTGAATAGAAGATGGTGTGATTGTGGTCGATTTCAAGCTTTTAGGTTCCCATACACTCACGATGTTGCTGCATGTATGCACATCAATGTTAACCTATACTTATATGTTGATGACTGTTATAGTTTGCACACTATGCACAACATTTACAGTTGTGACTTCAAATACCTCCCAAATGAAGCATATTGGCCTACATGCACAATTTATGAGGAATGATTGTCAAATCCTCAATTGCATAGGAAGTTACGAGGTCGACCTGAATCTAGCTGAATTCATACCGATATAAATGATCCTCAAAGAGAGCCAGGTCAACCTAAACTTTGTGGCCACTGCAGAGGTGAAGGTCATAACAGAAAACATTGTCCACATATTTCAAAATATCGAGCTGGACGCTAAAATAGGTGTTACAAAATATTATGTATTGTAAAACCTCTAGTTCCAAACTATTAGTAAAATTTGTTCTTTCTTTTTCAAGGATCAAGAGTAACCTTTGGAAAACCCCTAGTTATTCAATGATTATCGGTACGATCTTTGTAATTTTTAAATAAATCTAGTTGTTTAAGACCGTTGGGTTGGACAGTATCGGTACTCCTCTTTATGGTATCGAGACTATTGTGTAAAGTAGTATTGATACC